TATTTTTTTTAAATACTTAATTATTTATGTTTTATTTATATTGCTTGATTATTATTTTGTATATATATATATATATATATAAGACAACCAAAAAAAAGAAAACAAATGATTGTCTATGAGCTAGGGATGTCTTCACTTTGTACATATACATATTTTCATCTCTTATCTCTTTACTTTTTTTTTTATATTATATATTATATAATTATTAAAAAATAACAATAAAAAATTATTGAGACAAAAAAATAATAAAAGAATTCAATATTTATTTATCCAAACATTTATTCTTTAAAAAATAATTTTATTTGGTTGGTTTTTATGTTGTATTCAATAAATGACATAAAAAATTAAACATTTATTTTATATAAATAATGATTAAAAAAGTAATAAAACAGAAATAAAGAAAAAGAATAAAAGAATAACATAACAAAAAAAACTAAAATAAATAATTATAATAAGGTTAAGGGTGGATTCCAAAGGTCAAAAGTATTTGGAGGTCTCAGATTCAAATCCAAATAGGAATAAAAATCTTTTTGTGGCCACGAAGATTCAAATGCGATGAACTCCGGACTATCTGCAAAACAAATGGTCGTCTTGAGATTAGTCGACTTGCATAGCGAGTTGAATATTCAGGTTAATAAAAAAAAGGGTTAAGGATGTAGTTAACCAAAGTTAGGGGTGTCATTATGCCAATAGCCTCCTCCCATTTTTCAACAAAGTATTTATCAAACAATCATTTTTCCCATCATACCAACTACTCAAAAACAAAATATACAACTATCACAAGATAGACTTCTAGCACATGTGGTGTCGTATCGAAAATAACAATTAAGATAAAAAATGTAAGAAGAGATTTCTACTGTAATAAGTTGTATCAGATCAATTCTATAAAAAACTCAATTTATAAGTTTGATCAAAAATATGTTTCTCATCTTAATTCTACTTATTATATCATGCTTTTAATATCAAACATTGAATTAGTTACCAAATATATTTATTTTACTATGTATTTTCGTATCAATTGTTTTCAGTAGCATACGATACATCCATATGTATGTATGTATATATATATATATATATACACGTACGTACATTAATTCTGGGGTCGAAATTTTCCGGTTGAAGTGCACAAATCAAATCTGATTTTCTCTGAACTGCGTATTCTACTGGTTCACTGTAGTCTCTCTCGCCGAGAATTCCATGGCGGATGCGAGCTTTGTGAATCCCCAAAATGGATTTTGTTCAAAGACCAATATCTTTCACAGCCTTCGGTCGTCGGCTCCTCTCCCTCCTCCTTCACAACCCCTCTCCATCACCGACTATACCCTCTACCTCCTTCGATCAAACCCTTCATTCTCACCCTCCACCACTCCGTTCCTTATTGACAGTGCCACCGGCCACCGTCTCTTCTACTCTGACTTCATCCGTCAATTTCAATCTCTCTCCGCCGCTCTCGTAACCAAATTCCCTTCCCTTGCAAAAAACCAAGTCGCCTTGATTGTATCCCCACCGTCCTTTCACATTCCTGTACTCTACTTCTCCCTTCTATCCCTCGGCGTCACCGTCTCCCCCGTTAATCCGATTTCCACCGAATCGGAGTTAGCGGACCTTGTTCGACTCAGTAATCCTGTAATCGCCTTCGCCATTTCCTCCGTCGCTTCTAAACTCCCGTCGTCATTTCCTTTAGGCACAATCATCATCGATTCTCCTCAGTTCCTTTCCATGTTACAAAATCCTCGGTCTAGTTTTGGTTTTCCACAAGTTAAACAATCCGATACGGCCGGAATTCTCTACTCCTCCGGCACAACCGGTAAGATCAAGGGGGTGGAATTATCCCACCGGAATTTCATCGCCATCACATCCGCCTCACACCAAGACAAATTCGCGAAAGACGAGAATGCCCCTCACCCTGTCTCATTGTTTCCTCTGCCATTGTTTCACGTCTTCGGATTCTTCATGTTGATCAGGGCCGCATCATTGGGCGAGACGTTGGTTTTCATGGAGAGGTTTGATTTCGTGAACATGTTGAAGGCGGTGGAGAAGTACAGAGTCACGTACATGCCGGTTTCGCCGCCGCTAGTGGTGGCGTTGGCGAAATCCGACGTTGTCCCTAAATACGACCTGAGTTCACTTCTATTAATCGGCTGTGGTGGTGCTCCGCTCGGAAAAGAAGTCGCCGGAAGCTTCATGGCGAGGTTTCCCCATGTGGAGATCGTTCAGGTATTTACCACCCACGCTCCTATATAGCGCGTCTGCTTATTTACCCCTTGTTATTAATTGACGTCACCGTCAGATAATATTTAAATAAAATAAAATAATTTTTTAAGGTATTTATTTATATTTAAATGGATATATTTATCATTTTCTAGTCAGATGTGAGCATGGGGTTATTGATTATTTCATTAATGTTAACAAATTTTCAAATTTTGGATATTATATGAATATATTTTAATTTAAGAAATTTTAGATTTAAAAAAAATTTACTTACGCACCTCCTCTTTATATTTGGTGATGTTTAAACCTTGACCTGGCCAAAGACTCACATACCGTCAGACCAAGTACCGTTTGGTAGCATATAATGTATTTGTGAGAGATGTTTAACTTAGAATCAATCTTGTGAGTAATTTGTAATAATAGAAGGCCATGATGAGTTTGAGCATATCCAAGATCTTCTTCGTAACATCTCTAATATGGAAAAATAAATTCAAAATGGCCAAAAGAAGAATCAAACTTAATAGTTACTGTATTTTCGAGATTTTAACATTGATTATATATTATTAAAATATTCAAGATATTTAAAGAAACCCATAAAAGCTCATTTTTCTTCCTTTTGAGGATTTTGTTGAAGATGCTCGTTCAACATCCTGACAAACATCCAATGACCATTTGACACCGTGGAAAATGACTTATTTTGCTAAAGGGCTTTTGACCTAACGGTATGTGAGTCATTGGCATCCTAGGAGGTCAAGGGTTCAAATCTCACCAAATGTGAGGAGAGCGTGTGAGTTTATTTGTTCTATTTGTCGTATATAAATATTATATGCTTCAAAAAATGACTGATTTTGATTTTTACATTTTAGCAACCATAAAGATTAGGCTGTGATAAATGAGGATGCGTTTGGTATGTTCATTGGGTGGGACGGGACAAAATAAATAGTCCTATGTTTGGTATGCCTTGGGACAAAAATGAGATGGGACAACATGGGACAAAAGTAAGATTGGTTGGGATTATTCTTGAGTTTTTTTGTTCCATCAAAAAAGGTAGAACAACATGAGACTAAATTTGAGATTACAATATTGTCATCATTATTTGATATCAAAAAACAAACCTAATTTAATTGCATCCTCTTTCTTCTCTTCCATGGCCTCCATTCTCGATTTCAGCCTTCATTCTTTAAATGTTAAACTTTTGACGATAGCGTGACAAATGTTATTTACAATTGTTGTGTTTAAACTTTTTAAATTATGTGCGTATTTAGAATTTGTGGTATGACAAATGTTATTTACATGTGGTTTTGGAATGTTAAAAAAAAATATTGATATCATAAATTAAATAATTTAAATATATTTTTGGTTGATTTGTTGTCATTTATAATCATTATATGATACAAAAATAACATTGAATAACATTTAGAGGCAATATTGTCATTTTAACAGTTTTGTCCAGTTTTATCTTAGACGTACCAAACGTATGACAGACAATTAGTCATGTCCTGTCCCATCCTGTCATGTTCTATTTTGTCTCATCCAGTCTGCGTACCAAACACTACTAGAAAGTACAAGTAAGAGGCTATTTGATTGGTTTTTCATTAAGTCTTGTATGAATAAAGTTGTCTGTGTGGAATAATATGTCTGTATAAATTGAGAAAATTTTTGTTTGGGAGAACTTTTCATAGATGGAAGGAGCATGTATTTTAATTGGGAGGGGTATATTTGAAAAAAACTTGGGTATAAAGCTCCTTCTAAAAGCTTACTGAATAGATCACTTTTTATATCATTATGTCATTACCAACAGTCATATATAGCAGACTAAATAAGCTGTAAGCCTCATTAAACTCATCAACTTGCTAGCAAAAGGGCCCTAACATTGAAAATTAAAGGACTCTTGAAGACAATTGATAGTATGATATTAACCTCTAGAGTTGTTGGTTGCCTATGAATTATGTGTGGTGCTCTAGAGTCCCCGTTGCTAGATAGCTACCAGAAAGTCGCATTTGTGATCTTCTCTCTCTCTCTCTCTTTATATATATATATATATATATATGATATATTATGATAATCGTGAAAACTTTTATTTTAAATGTATTGTTTCACATAATCTTTTTTAACTTTTTTTTACGTGTAACTTTTGTTTCATAAACAAGTTTAAAAGATTCACATTATGAAACAAATATATGTTAATCGATATTCTAAATCTTAGCTTTAGATGAAAAAGAGTCAATGTGAAATAACCTGGTTCATCTTTGTGAGTTTTGGATCGTGAGTTCTTGCATACCCTGTTCGTCTTTGGTAAGTTTTGGATCGTGACTTACCTGTCACTTGGGTATCACGGGATGAATGACCCTTTTCCCAAAAAAAATTAAAGAAAAACTTGATATTCACGATTGTGTTTTCTTAAATATCCTCTAATTATTGTGTTGGACATAATTGTGATATTGCTTTGAAATCTTTATTGTCATACTATGAATTGATTTTGATTAGAGCCTAAGAATCTCTCCTTGGCCTCTTCAAAACTCATGCACAATTAATAGTTGGAACTTAGTAAAAGATTTAATGTGAGATACAAAGCATGATGAAGAACATAAAACACAAATGGTATATACTTTTAAGGGTCTTGTATGCTTCTATAGATAATCTTGAAATGAAATGAATACTGATTTTCTTGTATATCTTTAAGGGATATGGTATGACTGAGACTGGAGGAGGGATTACAGGAATGATTGGGCCGGATGAGTGTCAACGTTATGGATCTGCTGGTCGTTTATCCGCCAATGTAGAAGCTAAGATAGTTGATCCAGAAACTGGTGAGGCTTTATCTCCAATGCAACAAGGAGAACTGTGGCTACGAGGGCCCATGATCATGAAAGGTGATGCATCTTCCTCTTCTATTTGGTTGGTTTCTCAAGCGTCATACTTATAAAATTAAACGAACCCAGTAAATTCCACATCGGGTAAGATTGGTATAGCTGACGAGAGGGAAATGGAACAGGTTATGTTGAAGATAAGGAAGCAACTGGTGCAACTTTGGACTCCGAGGGGTGGTTAAAGACTGGTGATCTTTGTTATTTTGATTCGGATGGTTTTCTCTATGTCGTCGATCGATTAAAAGAACTAATCAAGTACAAAGCTTATCAGGTGATGATGATTGTGCTTCCAACTTTCTTGTTTTCTAAGCAGCATCTGCTGAAACGAAAAACGTTGCAGGTTGCACCAGCTGAATTGGAGCGTTACCTTCAATCAATTCCACAAGTTGCAGATGCTGCTGTGATTCCGTAAGAGTAGTAAATATGTTGATTATATTATGGTTTGGAAGACAATGCGTAAAATATGTTGATTATATTATGGTTTGGAAGACAATGTAACATGTAAAAAGCAGGTATCCAGATGAAGCAGCAGGGCAGATTCCGATGGCGTATGTAGTGAGAAGAGATGGAAGCAAAATCAAGGAGGCCGAAATAATGGAGATAATAGCAAAACAGGTATCACCGTACAAGAAGATCAGAAGAGTTGCATTTATAAAGGCAATTCCAAAAACAGCAGCAGGAAAGATATTGAGAAAGGAGTTGGTTAAGCATGCTGCTGCTGCTTCTGCTAACAAACTCTAAAGCTTATACTACTGATGCTTTCAAAATCCATTTTCTTTATTTCAGAAAAACAATAAATACATTATATAATTTTTGTAGATTACCAGAGCCATCAATTTTCAGTTATTTGTCTTTTTTACTTGTTAAATTTAGTGCTCGGATTTCTTAATTTTAAATGACCATTTTACCCCCTTTGTCTCTCTGAAATAAACAACTGTTTGCTAAAGGTTTTGAATATATGAAATTTTAAGCACAGAGTTTGGTCAATTGTGATTTTTTTTTTTTTTGAGTTCTTGAAATGTTCCAAAAATCTTCTTTAAACTGGAAACTACAGATAGAACTCCAAGAACCAAGGCAAGATTTTGAGAATGAAATTAGTAACAGGAAGAATAATCCATAGATGTTATCTCATTAAGCTGTTACAGAACAGGCCCAGACCCTTAGTATCGATTCCTGAAAACATAGATGTTATACAGCTCATTAAGCTGTTACAGAACAGGCCCAGACCCTTAGTATCGATTCCTGAAAAGATATTTTTACATGTAAAAATTAAGTTTCCATTTGTTGTTTGAAGGTCGATCAAGATATATTAAAAAATAAGATACAATACGAGCTCAAACAACTTTCATGGAGCACAAAAAACATAACCCTCAAAAATGAAAAACCAATCACAGCCAAAACTACTCACACGTGTGCTCGAATCGAAACATGCATCTAGCTTTTGGAACCTCAAATCAAAGAGAGAAAATAGCAGCAAAACACAATGAGACGGACAGAGACCAAGTTTCCAAAAAAAAAAACATTTTGCAGATGAGATCTAAAAAAATATTACCAATCGTTGTATGCTGCAAACATTTGCACAGATGAAATTGAACCCACAGTCTAATGCTTGTAACATCAAGTTTTTAGTGTCATTTGAATAACAAAAGTGCATTATCAAGATCACAAAATTTATATATGTTTTCAACCCCAAACACTTGGTCAGATTTATCTACAGATCCTCACATTTTCCGCAGGGAGAGGAGACTCACGGAACCATCCATGATTAAGGGCTTCCTCTGCGGTTATCCTCTTCTTTGGATCATATGTCAAAAGCTTGTTCAACAAATCAAATCCCAGCTCTGTTAGAACCGGCGACCCTGTAAATGTAGCCACAGGAAACCTTTTCCGCAAATTATTATCCGCCTGCTTCACAAAGTTGGGTTTCACTCCTGGCAGCTTCAAATACCCAGGCCATATTGTCTCGTTCGGTGTCCCTAAAGTTCTGAAAATCTTGTTAATCTGCTCAAGTTCCCTGTTACCATCGAAGAGCGGTTTCTTCGCCAGCAACTCCGCCATTATACAACCCACCGACCACATATCAATGGCAGTTGTATAATTTTTCATCCCCAGAAGAACTTCAGGCGCTCTGTACCAAAGAGTCACCACCAAGGAAGTATACGGCTTTATAGGACTCCCATACCGCCTTGACATCCCAAAGTCGCAGATCTTTAACTCACCTTTGTTGTTCAAGAGCAAGTTTGATGTCTTCAAATCCCTGTGAATCACCCAGTTATCATGAAGAAAAGACAGCCCCTCCAGGAGTTGCAGCATAAGGCATTTAACCTCGCTCTGACTAAATGGCTGCTTCATTCGCTCCATGTATCCTTTGAGTTCGTGATCAATGTATTCCATAACCATATAAACGCCATCAAAGTCATCCATAACAACTTCCTTGACTTCCACAATGGATGGGTGTTGTAAAGACCCAAGAATGTTGATCTCCCTCAAAGCTGTCACAGGGAAACCTTCTCTCTCCTTTCCCATCTTCACCTTCTTCAATGCCACAATATCTCCGGTTTTCTTATCTCTAGCTTTGTAAACAACACCATAGGTGCCTTCACTAATCTTACCAAGTCTTTCATACTCGAACACATTTCTACAGCTTGGCATCAGGCCTAACCCAATGCATCTTGGGACATCAGTTACGTGGCATTCATCGTCATCACCCTCTGAACTTACATAACCCATGCTGGAAGCCTTGTCATCAAACTTCCTCGACTGCTCATCTTCACTGGCTTGAGCTAAAAAAGGGTCAATTTCAGTAGACAAAGATGAGACCTCTTCCATCCCTTCAAAGCCTTTTCGCTTGAACTCCCCACTTTCAGGACTGGAATTGTTGATTTCTGATGCCATTCTTGGTGAATCATTAAATGCCCATTTTGATTTGGACAAGTTCCGTTCCTCCATGTACTCTCCATCTTCGTTCTCAAGCTCCTGATCACACTCTTCATGCGTGCTTGTAGCCAACGAGCACGATACTCCCAGCCCATCAGAGACATTAGACACAAGAGACTCGACAGGAGAAATTTGCAACTCGCTGTCAGCATCAATGGAACATCGTTCAATCTTCCCATCTTTGACAGCTTGCAACTTCACAAAATCTTTCAATGGCTTGGGTGAGGAAGATCGACTAAGGACAGAACTGGTAGATATAATTCTGTTCTTAGAGGAGATCTTCACCTGCTTATCAACTCTATCCCACACAATAGGGGAAAACTTCCTTTTCTTGGTAGAGACTGACCTCGACTCATTTTCAGAAACAAACTCTTCATTGTTTCTGTCTTGCAAGTCATGATCAATTGGGAGCACAGACCATCTAACACCGTTTGCCTCCCAACACGACCTGCCAAGATCACCATCAACGTCTCTGTTCGTTCTATGATCATTGGTTCTGCCACCTGAACTAATAGCGTTTTTAGGTAAATCAAGACCACTAGCAGAAGTTCTCTGATTGTACCGAATTTTATAAGAGGGGTTTTCTTCCTCGGAATGATTCGAGTATCTTTTCCTCGAGATGTTCTGTCGTCCTGCCGCCATAATTAGTAACACCAACAACTGATTTTCAGCAACCAACAATCCAATCCAAATAACAGAGCAAAAGAGATAAAAGAAGACGAAACCCTAACGACGACCTAGAAGGAACCCCAATTACAACCTAGGACCCTAAAAAATCAACAAGTTCAATCGCTTTTCTTTTAAAAACACATACAACAGAAGCTTTGTAATATAAAACCCTAATTCACACGCCCAAACGAAATCCCGCCGTAAAGCAACAAGATATTTTCCGATTCAATACAGAAAAAAAACAATATGGAAACTATGAATATTGCAGGATCGGTCAATTGATTATGCGATATTTGAAATTAAACAGTCAATCGGAGACGATCTTCGTTCTTTCGAACCTCAAATTAGAAAATTCTTTTTTTCAGGCCGATAATCTCAAAGGCGATGATAGTTCTTACCGGAAGACGAATCTTCAAAGTCCGATGAACTACGATGGCGGTTCAAAGAAATCTACGACGGATCTTGATCAAGATCCAAACAGGCTCGCAACCTTATACTTCAACGACGGCCGCCCCAGATCTATTTCTTTCTTTGCCCTAAAAAAATCTCGCTTAACGATATAGATATAAAAGGGGTGAAAGGCGCGTTTGAGAAAGAGTGTGGCGGCGACCTACAAATCTACAATACAAGTTTCCTCTTATTGGGCTTCTGGGTTGGGCCTTCTATTAGCTTTTGGGTTTTTGTTATTATCAATATGGGCTTTTGGGCTTTTAGTATTGGGCTCAGTTTGGGCCTACCATCGGTGTTTTTCGTTTTCTATTTTAACTTTGAGTAAATTACAAATTTCGTCCCTGAGGTAATATCAACATTTGGATTGAGTCCCCGAAACAAAATTATTATATGTATGGTCACGGTGGTTTCACTTTTGTTACGGATTGGTTCCCTTGCTCTAACAAACTTAATCTTAGCTCAGTTAAACCAAGGGTATTTATACCATTTTTACTTTTTTATTCGAGAAAATAAATATATAATTTCTATAAAACATATCTATATCTATACTATATTATAAAGCATTTGACAAAAAAACCTCTTAAAATCATTCTTTATGCATGAAATACTGCGTATTAATGTATATTACTTAAAATTTAATATTACAAGTAAATTGTGTGTAACTACAATCTATTAAAGCTCCATTTTAAATTCATATAACTAACTGCATATAAACATAATCAAATACAAAATAAACATCTCATTTTAAATATATAAAATCTAAAATATAATTAGGATAATTCATTGAGTTCTAACAGAATCATTATCTTTATAAAAAATTTATTGTTAAACCAAAAATAAATTACTTCACCATTGATCTAAATTAAATTATAAAAAATTGAATTAAATAAATTGTAAAAAAACAAAAAACTTTTAAATTGTTGATTTAATATTAATATCGATATACTTTTTCAAATTTTTATGATGCCTTCAAATTTATTTTCATTCAAAAATTAAAAATATTATATTTCTCAAAACCATATAAACCATATTATACCAATAAATACAAAAAAATAAAACGTAACATCAAAATGAAGATATATCTCGCTACATCGTGCGAGTACCTTTATAGTATTATAAAACATTTGACAAAAACTCTTAAAAACCACTTTTTATGCATAAACTATTGTTTATTAATACATGTTACTTAAAACTCAAGATTACAAGTAGATTGTGCATAAGTACAACTTATTAAAGCTCCATATATGAATTTGTGTAACTAACTGCAAATAAACATAATCAAATACAAGATAAACATCTCATTTTGAATATAAAAAATCTAAAATATAATTAGGATAATCATTGAGTTATAACATAATACTTAATTATTATCTTTATAAAATGTTATATTATTAAACCAAAAATAAATTATTTCGTTATTAAACTTAAATTAAATTACAATCAAAAAATAAATTAAAGAAAATTACATAAAAATGAGAACTTTTAAAAACACATAAAATCGTATTGTAACATCGACAGAGACAAAAAAATAAAATAAAAGTCTGAAAGACTAAATATCAGAGCATGCTTTGTTTAAACTTTAAAGTACACATTTGAACGTCTTCGGCAGGAAGGGGTGGTGTGGAATGGCGATTAACTACTTTTCTACCATACACATCAAAACTAAGGGGGCGTTTGGTTCGTATAATGGAATTTGATGGAATTGGAATTCATCAAATGAATTTGACTTTGAGGGAATGGAATGGAATCTGATGGAATTTGACCATGCCTTGTGACTGCGTTTGGTTGCATGGAATTGGATTAGGGAAGGAATCTGTAGGAAAGGAATTGAAATCCTAACATATTGTCATGGAATTGTAAAATCTGTACGTGAAGGAATCGACTGGAATTGAAAGGATTCCATAGTCTTATTCCATGAACCAAACACTCTATTTGGAATTTGGTCAAAGGATTGGACATTCCAATTCCTTTTAATTCCTTTCGATCCCCATGGTCCAAACAGTCCCTAAAGGTTAAATCAAGCTTTACATTGTAAAAGTGTTCCAACCAGTCGTATCGTTGTATACCAACATCATCGATATAGGCTTCTATTTTAAATATTAATATTTTATGTTAAAATATACCCAATAACATGATATACGAGTGGTGCAAAAAGCATGAAGAAATATGAGTAACGGAGCTGAAACCAATACGAATCCCGTTGTTCCAGCCATAACAAGCAACTAGGGTTTCGAGTCCCGACCTATCCATTCCGTTGCACTCTAAATTGCGAAATAGTCTCGTTTGAGTTTGGATATTCACTTTTTGCCACAATCTTAATTTTCGATGTTTTTGAAAAGTTTCGGATTTACGCTTTACGAATACACCTTAAAGTTTATAGGACGAAAATGGTATTTCAGAGATTATTTTTAATATTAAATTATCGTATTCTTGGTTGTTGGTATGTTCAGGAAATAAATGTTTAGCTTTTATAGAAAAATATAAAGTCATTTGTTGACCATTATTTTGTATTTTATGACATTTTACCCCCAATTTTGACTATCTATAAATTATATTTTGACCAATATGAGAAGTATATTATAGTTGTATACAATATAAAATACACATTTTTATGTAAATATGAGGACAAATTGCATGAAAAGTAACGTATTTTAACTTAATTGTTATTTTGGGTAACGTACTTTCAAAACTTTCATTTTGGTACCTAAGATGTAAAGTTTTAAACATTTAAGTACCCGAGTAACCGGTTGAAACATTAACTGGTTACCATGCTGATGTAGCGAGTGATGAAATGAAATTGGGTTGAATAGCAAATAATACTAAGTTGGAAACCATATCACTAGCCACATCAGCATGGTAACTGATTAATGCTTCAACCGGTTACTCGGGTACTTAAATGTTTAAAACTTTACATTTTAGGTACCAAAATGAAAGTTTTGAAAGTATGTTACCCAAAATAAGAATTAAGTTAAAGTACGTTACTTTTTCATGCAATTTGCCTTAAAGAAAAGAAAATCAGTGGATTTATGAAAAAATATAAAATCACAATAAAATTAAAAAAATAATATTATTACCAACATTTATTTTTAAAATATTATATTTTCTTAGATATTTAAGAAAAATAAAATCAGTGGATTTACGAAAAAAAGAAAATCAGACTGATAAAGGAAAAGACTGAAGACTTTCATCGTAGTTAGCAAAAGTGTAATTATATCTGACGACTTTCATTACAGTTAGCTTTATCTGGTTATTAATCTATATTACCTTATAAACCAGAATTATTAAAAGTCTTAAAAACAATTTTTAACGCACAAAGTACTATACATTTATGCATAAAGTCTTAAAAGTCTTAAAACAACTCATAATGCATTAAGGACTACTACTTTATGCATTTAGTCTTAAAATCTTTCAATTTACAATTAAAATAACATATAGTACAAGTTACCAATGCATATTATTATCTTCTCTTTTCATGTTCTCAAGATATTTTTGACACATTTCACTCATGTTTTCACCCTCTAATACCTCTATGTCTTCTACCCATCCCCCAATGTAATATTCAAACTAATATTCACCATGAGTTATTAAAAGTTCTCTTATTCATCTCTCATTCAATTGCTCTAGAACTCTCGGTCTTGCTCTTGATCTTTTGATTTTTTTGTTATTTATGTAAATCGAACACATTCGTAAAGTCGTTTAAATATGTTGGATTTTAAATATACTAGTTGTGTACAAGCGCAATGCGGCGGGAGCCATGAATTTTAACGACTTTGAAGTTTCACTGGTTTTATTAGAGAAGATTTAACGATAATATAAGTTACACTTGGTCTTTACATATTAATACAATTTGAATAAAATAAGAGTTATGGTTCCAATTACAGTCTATCGATGAAAAAAATTGTATAACAGTTTAAAATCCAATATATTTAAAATCCAACATATTTAAATGACTCCACAAATGTGTTCAATTTACAACAAGAGCAAAGAATCAGGAGATCGAGAGCGAGACCGAGAGTTTTAGAGCAATTAAATAGGAGATGAATAAGAGAACTTTTAAAAACACATGGTGAATATTAATTTGAATCTCACCTTGGAGGATTAGGAGAAGACATAGAGGTATGAGAGGATGAATGAATGAGTGAAATGTGTCAAAAGTATCTTGAAAACATGAAAAGAAAATGTAATAATGTGCATAAAGTAGTAGTACTTAATGCATTATAAGTTATTTTTAAGACTTTTAAAAATCCTGGTCGATTTTTTTATTTCTCTTGTATCAAAACAACCCAATATATCGATATGAAGTTAGAATCGAAGGAATATGACAGAGAAAATCTTTAGTTGGAATCCATTTCTTATTTCTCTCAAAGCACTAACGTTGCTTTTAATTTCAGCATCACCGTCGTCGTCATGTCTCAATACCATCTCATCATGTCGTCATCGTCATTTAGGAGAACATATTTCATCACCATGTATTTCTCTCTCAATATTTTTCCTTATCATTGTCAAAGGTAGGAGTGTGTAGAAAATCACTCGATCCAATTTAAACCGACTGGCTTAGTTAGGACCGACCGACCAAATTTGGATATCAAATTGTAATCGGATCAGGTCGGATCCAAAATTTCAACATACAAACCGGATCGGTCGGTTCTTGGATGGTAGTCCACCATCCAATAGAACCGAACTGATCCAATCCAATGACCATCCAACTAATATCCAGTTAATAATTATATATAATTATTAACATTTCACGATATTGTTTTTTACTTGATATTAACATACATTTTTTTCTAGTAACTTATGAAAATATATGAATAATTGGTTGAGTATTAGATCAAAAGGTTGGACAAATCCAATCCGACCCAATGGATAATCAATAGTAACATCCAGTGGATGGAACTGATCCGATCTAATCATCCATTAGATTTGGAACGGATCGGATGTCCAACGTTAATCAAATCGGATCAGATGACAAAATCCCACATTCAATTGATGATTAAATTAGATCAGATCGGATTGGATCACTTAAATCCATTTGAATTTCAACCGATGAACACCCTTAATCAAGGGACCGTCAAATGCTTCTGGG